TCATAGAACACAAAAGATTTTAGTTAGTATGTTCACGCTGCTTTTTTATAGAATGGATGAAACTCACTCACAAAACAAAAGCAATTTCTATATAAATCGTTCATAAATCATTTCATACATTAACTGTCCAATTGAATTGAATGCAAAAATGTGTGACGTGTTTGCGTACAATTTGTTCTGCTTGTGTTTCATTAATAAGGCAGTTGGACACTGTGAATCTCCCAAATGGACGATAAAGCTACAAGAAAAAGTGCATATGGCTTGTCAGGTTTTTTCTTCTCTGAAGTCATACAATACATTTTGTAAGAAACGGGCCAAAAGAGAGGGTTTGGAATGACATGAGAACAAATGATGACAGAATCGTTATTATTGGATGAACCACACTTCAAATAAAAAAAGATTTTTCAAGGTTGTAAATAAAATAAAGATGATTGGAGTACGTTTCACAAGAAGGCACTATTTCAGTCTTTCTACTTTTAAATTCTTCTTTAATTTAATGTGCTTCTTGCTGCTTATCTGGCAGTCCCAAAACTGATTTTGGACAGGATAACGGTCTAATTGATTTACAGCAAAAGAAAGAGAGCTTTGGTGATAACCAAGCAAATATTTATTCACCATAATATTAATTTCGTGCTTGAAATTAAAGGAAAAGTTAAACAAAAATTGGCCTACATTTTTAAACTGAGTGGCAGGTGCAACTTTCAGACTCCATTGACCTTCATCTCAACTCTCACAGAATCGCACATGCAGAATAGTGGGATGTCATAAGCAGCGAAAGATACATCTGTGCTGCCTTCAAAAACAATCTGATGAAGGTATCTCGGTAGACAGGATGTGACACGATCATTGGATTCAGATGTTCATTGTTGCCTTCCTTCCTCCGTATGCTCCCTGCGGTGGCAGCATTTTTCAGCTTTTGGAAGCAGCCTGAATTAATGTTAAAGTCTCACCTAGTGCAAACTGTAGCAAAAGTCCCCAGTCTAAATCTTTCTCTGTTTTGAAATGAAATGGAAAAAATAAGATTTATTTCTTTGGGGAACAGAATACAGGCAATGACATGTTTTTGTGTGTATAAAAGTAAAAATATGCAGAGTTAAGCTGACCATGACCGCTGGGCTGTCAGAAAATGGTTTATGATTAAATTTAATAACCAGAGAATGCCTTCCTCCGATTCTGCCAGCCGGTTGTGTGTGCGTACATTATTTTGAGCACTCAAGGTGGCTAAGCGGTAAATATGTGTGTACCAGGTGAGGTTAATCTCTTGTCCAGTGAAGGATAGAGGCTGCCAGCATAAATCTCATTCAAATACTTGCACAACATTTGCAGGTGGATCTTTCTGCCTCAGTAGGCAGCATTTTAAGGCATTGTAAGGGTGCTTAAAAGTTTGGAGTCAGTAAGATTTGTAAGAAATTAATACGTTTTTTTTTTCAGCAAGTATTAAATTAATCAAAAGTGACAGTAAAAACGTTTAGAATGTTACAAAAGATTTAATTTATTTCAAATAAATGCTGTTTTTTAACTTTCTGTTCATAAAAGAATCCTGAAAAACAACATTTCAACACTGATAATACATTAAAAATGTTTCTTGACCACCAAACCATCATATTAGAATGATAGAATGATGACATGAAGGATCATGTGACACTGAAAACTCAACCAATGGCTGCTGAAAATTCAGCTTTTAATATTAAAAAAATATTAAAACAGAAAACAGCCATTTTAAATTGTTATAATATTTCACAATATTACTGTATTTTTGCTATATATACACATAGCTAATATAGAGCAAATTAGGTAAAACTACATTTTAATCAATTATTAATGCATTTTTATTAGACTATTGCATTGTTAGCTTAGCTGTATTACAATAAGCTGCGTCAAAATGACACAATGGCATCTTTTTGCTAAGTAGCCTATTATTAACAAAGGCCAGTATTTTTGATACCAATACTGCTACTGATGTCTCTATTAAATGTATTTTCACCTCAATTTTAGTCATTAATTATAGCCATTCATCATTACAGTATAATTGAAAGCCATTATTTTTAACATTAGGGTTAGGCTTAAAGGCTTTGAAAATATAAGTTTAGCTCCAACCCTAATTGAACACACCTGCCTGTAGTTTTCTAGTGATCTTGAAGACATTGATTAGCTTGTTCAGGTATGTTTGAGTAGGGTTGGAGCTAAACTCTGCAGGACAGTGGCCCACCAGGACCAAAGTTGCCCAACCCTGCTTTACGGTCATTAAGGACTTTATAATTCACTTTATAACCGTGTTTACGAGGTCACTAACCAAAACTGCACATTTTGACATAATTGTGTGTGTGTTTTTGTCCATTGAAGTGCTACTGTGGCAGCTCAGCAGAACGTGCAGCCTTTTTAAACTATACTCCATTTGATAATCATCTTTGTCCAGTGTCTGCGCTATTTCTTGCCTGAAGTTATGACCGTTAACACTGCCTTTATACTCGTTTAAACTAGAGTTGTGGATATCACACAAGCACTTGTCAATGCTGCCGTCCATTGGTGTTGAGGTCTCCGGTAGATTGTTGTTGCTTCTCTTCCCTTTCTTTTTTGGCTGTAAATCAACGGCCCGGGACAGTGTTGCCACCTTGTGGACAAACTAATTAGTGCAAAAACAATTCAAGGCGTATGTGCGACCTGCGCGTACTCTTCCCTCGGGCCGGATGAACATGATTGGTTGGCCGGATTGGGCCCGCGGGCTGCCAATTGAATACCCCGAGATTAGGTAGTTTATAGTGTGGCAACTCGGCCACTGCGGCTATAAAGGAAATACCAATATCACGTCGCATATCTGATTGTGTTGCATTAATGTGGAACGATATGTTAATACTCAGAACCGTGTTTGACACATAAACTAAAAGTGTCTCCACAGCCCTCCAAATTTGATTCTAATGTGTGTGCTTATGAAATAAAATGGCTTTTAGCTGTGCCCGGAATAATCTTGGGATTCTGGGTTAAGTCATTGTGTCACTCCAAGAGACTGTGGGTTTGTGATGATTAAAGGACAGTTGACTGCATCACGCACACACACTTTTCACCTTCCATGGCTGTAATACATCATCCTAATGAACCTGTGTAGCCAGGGCATGCAATACTTGATTAATCCACAGTCATTAAATCCAGTCTGCTGAGGACATCAGGAGGGAAGAGCATCCAGAGCTCCTCAGCTCAACTCTCTATTAATCTACTGCATAACTGGCCTGAATAAAACACCAGTCAGTACACACAGACACAAAGAGCTTTGGAACTTTGTTCCCACACTTTTATTGTTGCAGTTTTTAGAGAGAATTCCAAAACTGAACCATCATGTGTAAAACAAAATGAATTCACTATTAAAAGTGGATGAAATAATACAGTACCCAGAAGAGCAGAGTATAATAGGCAAGTTATAAAAATAATTCTGGTTCTGGATGTTGGTTGGCCAATGCTGTGTTCCAGCCAAGATAAAATACACAAGATATAAGTCATCAATATTTTTAGATCGTTTTTCCGTAAGAGAGATATTGTACATTTTAAGTATGTATATTTCCTAAAGGTTAATTGTATATATGATCTCAAAGTTAGATTTAAATGTAAGAAAATAACTTTTTAATGAAAATGTCATTATTATTACTATCAATAATAATAATAATTGCATTGTTTTATCATTGAAGATTTTATAATTTTATTATAAAGATTTTACAAAGTACTTAAAAAGATATCATTTAAGAATGTAAAAGATCCTTTAATACGTTTGAGGGAATATGCCATATGCATACATTTTCAGGTAGTTCAGCTTTGACTGTTGAAAAACAACAACAACAAAGTTTAAAGTTAAGATGGTGGGATAGGCTGAAGTCTTGTGGCAGACATGCTGCACATTCCTTCTTCCAGGAAAGGGGGTATTAACATGATAGATTGTTGATCTTTTTTTTTCTCCCACTGGCTAGCTGCAAAATTTCCACCCGCACATGCATTCCTAATAAAGCAGAGGATGAGCACAGATGGATTTTTTATTTATTGTTTGTAAATAAAGCCCCTCTCCCTCATGGCAAACATGAGGAGGTTAAAGGTGTGCTCATTTAACCTATTTACTCAAATAAAAACATGTCCACTTATGTTGAGTTAAATGCATTTTTATTCATTTTGCTTTATAAACAAGAATGGAAGGGAATTTGCAGCCTTTCTTTTCTCTATTTTTTAAATACTTGATCTACAAGACCCTCTTCTATGAAGCCACAGACCCTCATTGTCCCTGTTCAACCTTATACATTGTTCTTCATATCTTTACAAACTTTTCATTTTTTTAATATATATATTTATATTAGTTAATTTTTTCATATTTAATATATGTATGTAATTTCATTTTAAATTACATAATTTTTTTAATTTTTTACTGTTTTGTATTTATCTTTTTAATGACCCTTTTCACCGCTTTCTGAACCTTAGAATTAAACGGGTCATTGTTTGCTGTGATGCCTGTATGAAAACATGTAAATGGACTTTTCATCAGGCACATTATTCATTTTTTTCATAAGAAAAGAAAAGAATGTATTTCTCCTGATATGACCCCTTTAAATGAGCGTCTTTCCAAACCTACGTGATAATAAAACTCCATAAACTGGCATAGAACTTTCAGGCCAAACAGATTATCTTTATACACGGTCAATGTTAATAGGTCTACTTCCCCTTTTTTTTTAGTGTTTTCAAAAGGTCACTTAGTGTGAGCCTGTTTCTCTTTATATATTTGTACAATAATGGCTTCCTTTGAAAATGTCTTCATAGTCATTTACTGTTGTGACAGTAATTTGCCCTCAAGTTTATAAGCTGTCTTAATTGACATAAATGATTGTCATTAGGCAGGGGAATGTCTCAATTTGACTAACGGGCAGCGGAGTGCAGAAGTGACCTCTTTAAGACTGCAGCGGGGGCTTATGAACTGTGCCTTTTTATTTACTGATCCCTGGGGAGGGGGAAAGTAAGTGTGTGTGTGTGTGTCTAAGTCATAGTTTGTACAATCATTTGTGTTTACCAATGCCTATGAGAGGGTTCAGAATTTGCTCCGTCCCCAGGAAGTGTTGATAAAACTGGCTGGCCGGAAAGCTTGTGTAAATTATTACATTCCAGTTTAGGCTTGTACGGCTATTTTTACCCTCCCAGCCCTGTTCTGAACTCCACCTCCACTCTCTCTCCTTCTTCCTGAACAGGAAAGACTGGTTTACGTGCAGCCAGAATACCAGTTTCTCTCTCTGTCACTTTTGTCACATAGGGAGATGGGTGTTATCATTCATAATTAGCTCAAACTGTTAGTATTCTCTAAATTATCATGTTTATTGGATCGTGTTTAAGGTTGTCTGTTTTAAGACATGTAAAATGTTCTGTTCCCACCCAGTGTGCACTGGGACATTCCACTTCCCAAAAATCCCCTAGACTCATACCACAGAGGTTGTTCGGTAGCACACTTCCTGTGTCTGTTTGTGTATGTCTAGAGAACACAATTAGACTATCTCATCATGTGAAAATAATCCACAAATCCCAAACAATCTGAACAAACTAAACTGACCGAGCCTGAAATTTCTCTGCAGAGCTTGGATGAGCTTGATGACGATGACGGAGAAGAGAAGGAGAGGAAGATGGAAGAAAGTCTTACGCAGCACAACACGGTCCAGAACGAGGCGATGACCTCTGACCCCGGAGAGGCCCACTCGATACAGGTGAGAGTGTGTTTGTTTTAGTAATGTCAGAGGATAATCCTGCCTCTAGAGGATGTAGAGTGCAGTCACCGTTCTGCCTTACAGAGGCAGTGTTGACCAAAGAAACAAACAGAAAGCAGGGCAGTCGACACTCATTCTGCCTCAAGCCACAATACAAAGCAAGATAACAACTCTTGACACTAGACATGACTGTGTTTTGTCTTTTATTTACCTTGTGTTACCACCCGTCTAGAGAGGAAACGTGACCCAGGATCACATCAGCATCATCTTTTTGACTTTTTATTTTGGAGTTTTAAAACAGAACTTCAGGGGTGCTCAGGCCACGACAACATGCCAAACAAATTAACAAAAACAAAAGCTTAACAAAAAATTAAATTGCCCAAGAGAAATGAAACACAATAGTAAAATACTACCCTTATTGCTTTTCATGTGTGAATTAACTGTGTAATTTACAATATTAACAATGAATACATATCAAGTTCAATATATTTTGTGTATATATATATATATATATGTATATATATATATATGTGTGTGTGTGTGTGTGTGTGTGAAAACTTAAAACATGAAAATTAAATATTTTAAACAAAGTTTGGGGAAAGTGTAAGAAATTCATTCTTTTATTCAGAAAGGATGCAATAAATTGAGTGACAGGAAAGCCTTTCTATTCATCAAAGAAACCTGAAAATTGGATCATGGTTTCCCCAAAACAAAATTAAGCAGCACCAGTTTTCAGCATTGATGATAATAAAAATTAGTGGGCAAGATTTTGCATTTTTCGGCGCTCCTGACTTTTATTTTGACAGCGTGTTGATTAGTGTGTATATTAGATATTACGATATTTTTTCTCTTAAGATATTTTTTCTCTTTTGATTCTGTAGACAAAATATATGCCAGCTTTTACGAATAATGTACTATGTTTCAGGCATTTAATCACCCTCATATTGTTCCATATCTGTATGGCCAAACACAATATAAGATGGTTTGTAGAATGTTCATGCTGCTCTTTTTCATACATCGCATCTATATAGTGACAATCTAAGTAAAACAAGTAGTCCATAGAATTTAAGCTTTATTCCAAATCTTCTGACGTCGAAAGATAGCTTCGAGTGAGGAACAGACCAAACTTCGTTATTCACTAAATATCCTGCCCACATTTGTCATTTTTAGGGGCTCATTGAAGGATAAGAATGGCTAACTGTCTGTGTGCCATCAGCAGAACTCTGGGAACATGATTACGTATTTTTCTGAATGATGCATCGTTTTGTTATATCTAATTTCCTCCTGTTAGGTGGTTGATTCCATGTAGCTTCTGGTTGCTGAATGCATAAAGGAAACAACTAGGATGTGATATCTGACAACATAATCACATTGACATTGTGTGAGTGCATGCCATCTTGTATTACTTTCCCCTGGAAAGAATCGCTACTGTATTATTCTGTGAGAATTTCAAACCTATTATTGTGAAATATGAAAGGACTTTAGCGAGCAATTGTGTGCAACTAAAGACATGGTGAAAAGTGCTTCTCTGAAAAGCCATTCAAATGTGTTTCAGTAAGATTCATAATTATGTTTAAATAAAGAAACTTATTACTGCCCGAGCCGTGAGAATGTGAGTGGTTACGTGTTTCTGTTGATTCTGACCATGTTCAGCAGTCTATGCCAACCCACAGTTCTCCAGATGTTGGCCTCTGTTGTATCGGACACAGCTCACATTGTATGTAGGATATTACACAACCGTTAGTTCTAGTCCTCTAATTTGATTGTCCACGGGTGATGCACAATATATACAATATATACTCTGAATGACAGCACAAATAGCCCAACACAAATCAAATCACTGAACTGATAAGCCTTGTGGTTATTTCGCCATTTTGCTCATCAAACTTATGGCAAACAAACTTTTTGGCTAATTTTTTAACATTATGGGAACAAGGTGTTGTTATGGTACATGTAATTCGGATACTAGAAAAAGTCCATTACACATATTTCCTTCGCGTTAATGTCAATATAGAGTGCTGCAGTGATGATCTATTTTTGCATGCCAAAAGTAATGTGACCGACAAAATTTTGATTCTTACATGTTTTGCTCATTATAATTTTCACAAATGAATACAACTTTTATGAATTTTGAAGCCTAAATACAATAACTAGAAGTAAAAAGCTAAACATAGGCTATAAACGATGATATTTGATATATTTTTTTTATATTCTTTTGTTATTTATTTAAAAAAGTTTGAGATAGAATACTTTGCAAGATCATGATTATAAACACAGCGAGGCTGTAAAAGTGGATTAGTGAATAGATGAGTTTACCTGTTCGGCATTATGACGATTAATGTCCCCGACAAGCTCTGTAGTCCCATTTAGCTATTTGCTTTACCAACTACCTTTTTCAAGGGAAGTAAAAACATAAAAAAAATAAATAAATAAACATTTCAACATAACATAACCTGATACAAAAACTTGCACGTTCTGTTTTTTGTTTTTTTTTGCGTGCATTTTATTCCAAAATCATCAGGTACATTAGCAAGCGAGCATTGCAACGATGTAGTTTTTGACAGACAAAGATGGAGAACCTGCCCTTGAAAAGCGCTGGGCGTGATTATTTGATATATTTTTTTTATATTCTTTTGTTATTTATTTAAAAAAGTTTGAGATAGAATACTTTGCAAGATCATGATTATAAACACAGCGAGGCTGTAAAAGTGGATTAGTGAATAGATGAGTTTACCTGTTCGGCATTATGACGATTAATGTCCCCGACAAGCTCTGTAGTCCCATTTAGCTATTTGCTTTACCAACTACCTTTTTCAAGGGAAGTAAAAACATAAAAAAAATAAATAAATAAACATTTCAACATAACATAACCTGATACAAAAACTTGCACTTTCTGTTTTGTTTTTTTTTTTGCGTGCATTTTATTCCAAAATCATCAGGTACATTAGCAAGCGAGCGTTGCAACGATGTAGTTTTTGACAGACAAAGATGGAGTACCTGCCCTTGAAAAGCGCTGGGCGTGATTAATTATTTACCGTCGTGAGGTCAATAGTGCTGTTGTAGTGAATGCCGGCACTCCCTGAGACCCTGTTCCTACAGACGAATCACAGCCATTCAGCACAATTGCGTGTGTGATATTGCATAGTTAGAGTGGCATCCAGAAAGGTTTTGGAGTGTTCCCTAATTTTATGAGAGATGACAAAAGTAACATTATCTCCCCGTTTTTTCTAGGCGTCACGTTTAGAGTGGATGGCAGATTTACTCATCCCTGTCAGACGCGTGAGCATAGAGCGCCTCGAAAATTAGCTGCTGCATTTATCAGTTGCTTGGAATGGCTTTTGTGAAATTCCACGTCATATTTCACTGCTCTCTGACCTCCCACTAGACATGGTCGTAATCTACAAGCCTTCTACAATATTAACATGATGTCTGACAGTTCTCGGGTTCACCTATTACAGGGTTGGATGCACATGATGTGTCTCTGGATATTCACTGTAGTCTGTTCAAGGCCGCTGGTAATTAAGGGATGCAGTAAATTAAAAGATCATAGCTTTATGAGTATTATTCCTAGATAGTTTTATGCTGGGGCAAGCATTTCCCTTCTGGTGCTGTGTGTGTGTGTATGTGTTGTTTTGCTGCTTCTCTCTCTAATGAAGTCCTGATCAGCTCAAGGCCTCCCATCTGCTTCTGTTTAAGCTACGCTTTACCTTTCTTCTCTTCTGCCATACAAGGAAAACACGCTCTAATACCGGTGAACCGCTAGAACTCGCAGAACCGTAACAAACATTCCACAGGATCATCTCGCTCCAGTGTGGCGCCAGTGCAGCAGTGCATCGCTGGAAAATTCAACTCCATCTGTGCAGTTGTCTTCTGACATTTTGAAGCGGTGCCTCAAAAACCTAGTGAGCTGCCTACCCATACATCAGCTTCATAGATAATTTTGCTTATTAATTAATGGACAAAAATCATGGACAGAAACTGTTATTAGGTAGCATAGGTGCATTTGAATATTCAAATGAAATTGCGAAAAGGTGTCTAGGTGGGAAACTCAGTAGGGTTTGATACAGCACTTGCTTGAAGGTATGGAGTACATTTATTAATGTTTTGGTCAGAACATCTGCACTAGGGTTTGAGACACAGCCTTTGCGTGACAATATTGGATTAATTCTGAACCAAAGTGTTCATGCTTATTTGCATTTTTAATTAGCACTTCTCGTGTGAAGATGTTAGATGTGCTGGGAGGGACTTCCCATGCATCACCGAGCTGACCCCAGCAATAAGAGCAATGAGATGGTGACAGTGTAATTTTCACCTGACAAAGGCGCCCATTAGAAATGTTATGAATGAATGAATGATGCATTTATATAGCGCTTTAGTGTGTATTGTTGTACACCCAAAGCGCTTTACAATCATGTGGGGGGGGTCTCTCCTCAACCACCACCAGTGTGCAGCATCCACTTGGATGAGAATGGAGAAAAGCTGTTACGGAGTTATCTCATAACAGTTATCTCCTGTTATGGAGAAAAGCAGAATTTGCATAGTGCAATTAAATGCATTTAGCTTTAAAACGCTGCTCAACATCTGGAATTTGTTATTTTTTTTGCTCAGTAAGTTCGAGGCTTTCAGTGTTCCTATTTAATCTTACGAGGCCTATGTGGGTAAATATGAATTGTGTATGGGCAACAGGCAGGGCTGCTTGTCTATGGAAGGATTTGAATATTTATCGCATAAAGCAGGAAAGATTTAGGGCACATGAGCACAGCTTCAGAATGCCAGAGCAGGCCTGTGCCGGACTTTATTAGACTGGCCTTCTGAGATCCTGAGATTTTACCTTTTTAAATTGGCTGTCAAAATCACAAAGCCCATCAGATCGCAAACAGCTATGAATTCGTTTTTAAGCAATGTGCAATTTATCAGAAGAGAAACTGGGCTGAATACAGTGAATATATTTGCTTTCTCCATTTCAGTCGTAAATAAATCGTTCAAAATAAGACCAGAAAGAGATTGTAAGAACATATTTTTGGATAGATTTTCAAGGTACAGTATAGCATTGTTCAAAGATCTTGTGTGAGGCCTATGCATGTATCTGTTGAAACCTGCACAGGTTATTTTAAATTTTTTAACATTTAATTTCTCAACAAGCTCAGACCAAGAACCGCCAGCTAGATGCAAACATCTTGCTTCAGCCAAACAATATTTCGAGAGGCTTTGAGGCAATAAGAGGAATGATTAGTTAAACCTGATTTTGGTAAAAAAAATAAAAAATAAAAAATGAACACAAACATTATAAATAGCCGACCTTTGTGTTGCTGGAACATATGGGTCTGAAAGTGTTATGTATGACAGTTGCTATCAGCCTTTAGTGAGAGTTTGAGAATGATAACCATAACCTGTAGGCCGTCACAGTGATGGAACTTGTTTCTTTGGAGCAAACACAACCGTAAGCACTGTTTGAGTTATAACGCCTGGATTTATTGCTTTTTTAGAAATTTTTTGTCTGGTTAAGCATTGGTATCTCAGAAAGGGGCGTATGGATAGAGTGAGTCATGCTGTTCAAAGGCCAGCAGAAACTATTGGGAGGCTGCTGTGTGTGGGCTTGTGTTTGTGTATGTTTGTACATTAAACCAAGGGGTTATTCTCATTTTTATGCCTCTGTTTTATTTTTCAGGACACTCCGAGATCCAGAAGTCATAAGAGGTGAGTCTGACTGCATCTAATATCTATCAGCGGGTAAGATATGTCTATTCAGCACTGCATTGCACAGAGGGAGATCGAAGGGATTAAACCGTTTTAGCTGTTGACCGCAACTGGACCATTCGCTCATCTGGTTGGCTTCTGTCAGATGTAAAAAGTATTCTCCTGGCTTAAAAATTTGCCTTAGTAAAAATACTGAAAAAGAAGCGTCTCATCAGAAGAAAGGGATTTAAAGCCTGTGAAACGACAGCATGGCTTAACTGGACTCATTTTCAGAGCCACTGTAAGAACGCCAGTTGCTTTCGTTCTCTCAGTTGGCAGCAAAGTCATTCCTGAATTTGTTTCCACTTGAATGATACTTGTGGACTGTTTGTATCAAGCTGAGCAGACAAAATTAAGAGAAAGATTCTAGGAAGTTAAAACCTTAGTTTTTCTCTCTTCCTCACTCCAAACCAAACACTGAGTGACTTTGACAAGGAAATATCCACCTCTCACGTAATATAACCTCTCACGTAAACACTTCCTGCCCCAACAATGGCTATTTTTCTCATTTTCAGAGCCACTGTAAGAACGCCAGTTGCTTTCGTTCTCTCAGTTGGCAGCAAAGTCATTCCTGAATTTGTTTCCACTTGAATGATACTTGTGGACTGTTTGTATCAAGCTGAGCAGACAAAATTAAGAGAAAAGTTCTAGGAAGTTAAAACCTTAGTTTTTCTCTCTTCCTCACTCCAAACCAAACACTGAGTGACTTTGACAAGGAACTATCCACCTCTCACGTAATATAACCTCTCACATAAACACTTCCTGCCCCAACAATGGCTATTTTTCTTAAACATTTCCAGATGTCACATTAAATTTTTTATACCGGTTGCAGCAGCTGAGATGAGATTCACAAACCAATTGTTCTTTTGAACATATACATAAGGCAAGCCAGGTACAAGGTTCAAATAAAGTAAAATATGTTTGTTTGCAAAAAAAAAAAAAAAAAAAAGTTCATAAAGGCATTAGTAATTCATTTGACTGTAAGGGAGAAATTTAAAAGTAAATCTGTGAGGTAAATAGTGGTATTATCTATATTTAATTTACCACACTTTTATCTTTATACTGTGCTTACAATCTTTTAAACTTTGATGCAAAAGTTGTCCTGCTGTGTGTGTGTATTATATATATATATATATATATATATATATATATATACACCTTGCTACGTGTACTGCGTTAGGCTAACCGAGACTTGTCATTTGCACTTATATATATTGTTGCTCTTTTGTTAGTTTTGACTGCTTTTATTGTCCTCATTTGTAAGTCGCTTTGGATAAAAGCGTCTACTAAATGTAAATGCAGCGCTTGTGCTACACACATGAATGATTTCTCAAATTGTGCATCTCATTGATTTTCGCGTGGCAGATGATCAACGGACAGGTATTTTTATGTGGGAACCATATAACAACGTCTAGTGATCATTATATCATAGTGGGCTCAAAACAACCACCCAAAACATGCTAGCAATGGCATAGCAACATGCTAACAACCACTCAGAACACCTCAACATCCTGGCAGCTGGATGCCACATAAAGTGTAAAAATCCATCCAGTCAGTTGAACTAGTTCATTTAAATGAACAAACTGGTTCACTAAAATGAATCAGACCTCCCAGTTTACAATTGCTTGGACTTATTTTGCACAGAAAGTGCCAGTGCATTGTGGGTCCAGGGTGATGCAGACAAAAGCCCATCTGAAGCTCAGTCTGGCCGTTTGATTAGTCGCCCTGATACTTGCACTCGAACACCCAGGGCTCTGCCGCAGCCGGCACGACAGGTGGACGGCAGAACCGGCGGCTGAGACCGCAACAGACATGCTCTCAATGCATCAGAACAAAAGGAAGAGCTAGCCATAAATATTAAAGTAATAATGTCCCATTGCAGATAATTAATTAATCTTTTGGTGGGAAGTAAAATATGTCTACTATGGCTATTTGAGTGCTAACCAAAAGTTTATTCTTGAGGAATGAACACAAAATGAATTAAATCTGCAGCCAGCTAGCATGGCCAACATATTTAGAGTTGACTTCTGTTTGTCTCTCTCTCGCTCTTTCATATACACACAAAGCCCCCTGCTGGGTTTCCAGGAGCAGATCATTACCTCTGCTTCCTCCTGTTTCCTCTCCACAGGGGACTAATGCAACAGAGTGGTTGTTACATTCCCAGGACATGAACATTCAGATTGGACATCTGCTCCATTCTCCGAGTTGATCAGATTCAGACTTCGCTATACTGATAGAGCCACGGCAAAATACATCACACACCTCATCTGGACACAATAGTGGACCTTTTCCTTTAGGGTTTCCTTTTATTATTACTACTTTTTCTTCAGATCTCTAACCCTAAGAATGAGCAATAATAATATTAATAATGATGCTTGTCTAACCTAAATCGTTTGGGTCCATTAACATTAGGCTTGTTGGTTGCACATCGGCTCCATTCTGTACGTATGACCTGAAAATCCCTATTAGATGAAGCACTTCACCGTACCTCCTCATTAGCTGGAGGATTGGAATGGCCATTTGTCAAAAGAGAGACACTCTGGGAATAACTGCGGGGAACATTTGAGCTGGCAAATGGTTTTTCAGTACCTGAGCGAACGTCACTCAACCAGACCTCTGTGGATGATAATGTTATGGGGGCCAGTGCTCCCTTCAGCCCGTCTGCAGTTAGAAAGTGTAAAGATCTTTAGAAGAGCGAGGCGAAGCGATTGGAGCTAGTTCAAGTCAGAGAAGGATATTCCTGTGGTGCCAGTGTTGCATTTGTCACTTTCAAAGCCGATTTCACAGCAATTTCAACATTTCTGAATTAATTTTTTTTTTTTTTTAGCTGTGAAATGTAAATGTTTGAAATGTAAAATGAGAGGTTGTTTTGACTAGGGCTCTGTCTTCTTTTAACTTAAGGGTGGCCGCAAATGTGTGCTGCAGATTTGAACAACACATGCTTCAAAACAACGTGAAACTGCATTTGCAACACATTTAGCTTCTGTTTCTGTAGATTTTACTGGATTAAAGGGGTCATATGATGCTATTTTAAAGATCATTATTTTGTGTATTTGGTGTAACAGAATATGTTGACATGCTTTAATGTTAAAAAAACACATTATTTTTCAAATACTGTACATTATTGTAGTTCCTCTATGCCCCGCCTCTCTCAAACACATCGTTTTCTACAAAGCCCCTTTTTCCGACAAGCACATTCTGACAGAGTCGCGTGACAGACACAGTGATGATGCTCGTATGTATTTGCAGTACACAAGCCACGATTAAGAAAGCTGACTGACTCAACTGTAATGTGATCCTGTCTCTCTCTCATGCACACACACACACAACGTGATACTCTACACGGCGCAAAACTCCAGTATTTGATTTATCAACCTGCCGTCAATAGCAAATACTTAAACTATTAAGAAAGCATACATACAGTAGCTGATTCAGAATAAGCGCCAGATTGTCATAGCAAAGTCTGAATTGACCCATTTTTTTTAGAAATAGCCTTTGCACAGCCAGCTTTGTAGGCTACTCTCCTAGGTTCACAAAACTGTTGTCCATAAAATGCGTTGCACAAATTCGAACATCTGGGTTGTGCTGTTCTGTTGTAAATAAATCTTAACCAATGACTCCTCATTGCATCTACTTCCGGAAGGCCAAATAAAGTGCTCTTGCTTTCGCACAGAAACACACAGCGTCTCCCTGACATGGCTGCATCAACACTACTGCTGTTCCTGAAACCAAGCCTTCTTTCTTTGCGTGCACATTTGGGCGGCATTACGCATATATTTCCACATCGTGACGTAGACATGTGGGGGAGTGTTTGAATGAGGCGTTTTAGTCTGGATCAGCCTTCTCTTTTAGATAGAATAAATCCTTTTGTGGGAGACTTTGAGCTTTGTAACTCTGCAGATCTTATACATGCACAAATAGCTACATAACACACTAAAGAAAAAGAAAAATAGAAATCGCATCATATGACCCCTTTAAGAGGCGGTGTTAAATTACACACAGATAAAGCAATACTTATGTATAATGCACATCCTTGTCTATTTATTCCACACATAATTAAGACTAAAGATATAAAAAATGAATCATAGACATCTACCACAAAATTATTTCTTTTCTATTACAATAATTAAGGTCACAATCATCTGTAAAGTTGCTGTGAAACAACTTGTATTGTGAAAAGCGTTATACAAATAAACCTGACCTTACTTGACTTGAGTAACTCTTAAAGGGATAGTTCACCCAAAATGAAAATTACCCCATGATTAACTCACCCTCAAGCCATTCCAGGTGTATATGACTTTCTTTGCCTTGCCTTGAATCGGAGCTATATTTAAAAATGTCCCGGCTTTGGGGGTCGAGATTTTGAAGCAAAATAAAGTGCATGCATCCATCATAAAAAGTGCTCTACACGGCTCCAGGGGGTTAATAAAGGCCTTCTGAAGTGAATCGATGTGTTTGTGTAAGAAAAATATCCATATCCAACTTAACGTGTAGCGCAAGTAAATCATGGGGTAATTTAAATTTTGGGGTGAATTATCCCTTTAACTAGGAATTTTCCATGAAGAAACTGAAGGCACTATAAGATCAGGGACATTTATTAAGAAAATAAATAGGCTCAGTTTTGATTTCATGATCTCCTTTAAGAGGTGTATCCAGATGATTCTCTGGATGAGACTAGCCACAGAGACTCTGTTTTAGGCATGCCATTTCTGCACTGTCAACGTCACCAATCGGAAGCGCAAAAGTTGAGGTTTACGGCTTTATTCTCAGTGTTTCATCGGTCGGGCGCCCCATACTCACACCATCGGTCGAGGCAATGCATCTAACTTCTGATACATGAAATCTTAAACATTATCTAAAGTTTCCATGCATCTACAAATTCTTGGGCAGGTGAAAAAAAAAGACCACACATATGAGCCTTTCTCTGATTCGTTGCCAGTTCTTTTCTTCCCGCTTTTGTAGAATGTACAGGCCTCGCTCAGAACAACACTCCGAAGTGAAAAGAAGGCCTATTAATTTGATTCCCGGAAAGGGGTTATCAGCCGAATTAGTGAAATATTATGAAGGAATCCTCTCCAAGTCTTCCACATATGTAATTACAGAAATGAAGCTGGTTAAAATAAGTTCCACATGAATATTCCCAGAGTTTCTGGCCTAAGTGAAGAGCGAGAGAGACGGGGAGAAAGTAAAACAAATGGAAAAAGACAGATATTCTTCCCCAACCCCCCTCCCTTTTTGACTAGCTGCACAGCGGTGTCCCAAGGCACAGTCCTGTAAGGAGCAGGTCTGTTCTCCTCGCTAATGAAAGCGCATTGCTCTAATGCCTTCTACTGTGCCATAAAAAGGCTTTTCATACTCTGGTAATTTACTACTTGAGCTTTCTTATTTCCGCTCCTGTGAAATAAATGACGCACTTTCCGAGCCATTATGTTAGAAAAGGGTTGAGGTCTCATTTGAAGGAAGAAAAATGTGTGAAAAGATGTTTTAGCGAGGCTTCTTTTATGACCAGAACACCGAATGAAAAAGTGCACACCTGTGTTTTTTATTTATGCTTTTAAGAAGCGCCACACATTAGAGGTGTGCAGTACCACGAACCGGGCACACTGATCGAAAATGCTATTTCAGCGTTAATAAGCATGACCCCTTTTAGTTTGTTGTGTGCTGTATATGACATGTTCAAAAGGAAGGCAATATGTATTAATTTAGATGTTCCAGATAAATATATATATATATATATATATGTATATATGTGTGT